TGTCATGTTTCTTGGGAACTGCAGTAGTTGTGGTGACCAAAGTAACTGGGTTTTTTATATATATATATTTTTTTTTAATACTACGCTTTTGCTTGATTTTAGAATTGCCCTCTGTGTTGATGGTCAAAATAGATTTTGCATTAATAGCCACAATCTGTTGGGAGAAGAAGCTATTAAACAGAGACATCTTCAGTTACTTGGTTATGAAGTTGTGCAGGTAAAGTCCAAAGACAGTGGTTTGGTTTTGCTCTGGCTAACAAAACAAATTAAAAATTATTATTTTATAAGGCCTAAAACTGTAGTTGCAATTACTTCCCAAGGCAGATGTACTCTTACCCTTTCTACATTATGTTCTCTCTGCCTAGCATTTGCCTTTTTGAGGGTGATACTGAAAGTCTTTTTTTTCCCCTTGGATCAGTTATCTGTGTATTCTGCCTGTGTTTTCTGCCAAATAGTGGCTGCTTTAGAGAGTACTTCTCTGTAGGGATTAAGGTCAAAATCTTGACTTCAATGAAAGTATTGTCTAAGAATTCAGTAGAATTGGGATTTTTAATTAAATATTTTTTTAAAAGGTCTGAATTTGGAGTTTAAAAAGGGGAGTTTTTTTAAAAAAAGAACTGCTTTGTGTTCTAAATAATATTATCACAACAGAGTATATCCTTTATTTTGCCTGTTGAATTAATAGGGATATTTTTATCTTTAGACATACTGTAGACCAAACCAGTTACTTTTAGATTTCTGAGATTCTCTTTTCCATGTATAATCACTTATTGCATAAGCCTAACTTGTTTATATCTAACTTAGTTTAAACTGTAATCGGTATCACTCTTTGTTTTACAACATTCTCTATTCAGGTGACTTACAGATCAATTAGATGCTTAGGATTAAATATTTAATTTTAAAACAGACAGATCTTTGATGTGTCATTTTACATCTGCTTAATGAACACCAGTGTTACCCAGTTGTTTATTAAAAGATATTTACAGCAGTCATTTTCGTTTCATTTTCAGATACCGTTTTTTGAGATAGAGAGTCTACAAAATTGCAGAAAAATGGCAGAGTATCTACAGAAAAAAATCTTTCCTCATACATATGGACTTGGCTACTGACACTGGAGAATAATACTAAATCACAGGTTGACTTCCTGTACTATAAAGCGTAAATATTGTGCATGGAAGAACAATTCTGTTTTCTAAATATGACTTGAGCTTCTGAATTTAAGACCTTCCCATATTTGGAACAATTGAAATGTAAAGAGTAATAAAGAGCAACATATTTTCTTAAGTTTTGTGTAAATATTTATTATAGGTTAACAGATGTAAGTGCCAGACAGTCAGTGTTGCATTTCCTTTGTATTTTCACTAGTTCTGACTCACAACAGGAAATGGACAGATGTGACTGTTCAAGGATATTGGCTGGTGCTGAATGTACAGAATGTGCCATGTTACCTACCAATCAGGGCTTTTCTTGCTAGTATAAAAAAGAAATTGTGCAATTTACTCAGAGCTGTTCATGTGATTTCCCAAGTGTTTCATAAAACTAAAATTTGCAATAGTTGCACAAGCAGTATTGGCTTATTGCTCACACGTAAGAGATGTAGAGTGGTGTTCACTAAATAGCAATGCCTTATTGAAAATTAAAGGGTTTCTATTAATAAGATCTGCTTTACTTTGTAGAAGAACAGCTGCCACAGGGTAGTGGACTTGCACAGCTGTCTCTGGGGGGGACCACTCTAGGTTCTGGGTATGTACTATTTGTAGTTTTGTCTTTGGTGGCAGTTTCAGCTTAAACTGGTTAAATGAGGTCTTGTGCATGCTCCAGAGTTTCTTCAGTGTACAGCCTGCCATTTGAGCCTAAACTGAAACCCATTATGCTCTGAAGCTCAGAGGTACCATGTCCTGTGGAGTCCATTTTAAAGGTATGAGGATAAATTCTGGCAGAACTTGAGCTGGAACAAGCATACCCTAACATGAGTCAATCTGTTGGTTTACAGAGGGATGAAGGGAAACTAATATAGCCTTAGTTCCTGTCATGTAATGTGTACTGATGAACTGTAATGTAAAACACATTTTCCGGTTAGCTTCTGCATCCTATCCTGTGTGGAATTATTGTTTATGAGTAGCTAAGCAGAATTCCCAGCATTACCAGGTTTGATTTTAACTATTATGATTTGATACAAAAAAGGTGAAACTTTTACATCCTTGAAGTTCTGTATATTTCACCAGTAGATACAGAATGTGGCCATTCCAAGTTGTTGTAGCCCGCAGTGAGTTAAGGGAGAGAACTGGGAGAGTAAAAGTGAGAAAACTCGAGGGTTGAGATAAAGACAGTTTAATAGGTAATGCAAAAGCCACATGTGCAAGCAAAGCAAAACAAGGAATTAATTCCCCACTTCCCGTTGGCAGGCAGGTATTCAGCCATCTCCAGGAAAGCAGGGCTCCATCACATGTAATGGTTATTTGGGAAGACAAACGCCATCACCTCCTTCTCCTTCCCTCAGCTTTATATACTGAGCGTGATGCCATACAGTATGGAATATCCCTTTGGTCAGTTGGGCTCAGCTGTCCCAGCTGTGTCCCCTCCCAGCTTCTTGTGCACCCCCAGCCTCCTCGCTGGTGGGGTGGTGTGAGAGGCAGAAAAGTCCTTGGCTCTGTGCAAGCCCTGCTCAGCAGTGACAAAAACATCTCTGCATTATCCACCCTGTGTTCAGCACAAATCCAAAACGTAGCCCCGTACTAACTATCCCAGCCAAAACCAGCACGCAAGGCTACTGGTAATTTGTGAGTTGTGGGTGTCTGTCAATTGTCCCAATAATCCATGGAGAATTTTGGATGCAAAATCCAGATCCAAAATAGGGTTTACATTGTGTCATGCTGTGCATTCCATTCATGTTAATTTGTTGGCATGTATAAAAACCTTTATTCAAATAGTATGTCAGCACTGACAGGTGAGGGAGCACCAAGAGATACTTTCCAACCATGTAACAGGAAGCTTACAGCACATCGGTAACCTATGAGTTGTCATCCTAGCAAAAGAGAAATTGAAGGAGAATAACTGAAATGTCTTTGCAGACATTTATAAGGAACTTCTCCCTAATGCAAAAGAAATCATCAAGGTATTCTTTTGACACTAACTGAGCACTGAAGGGAGAAGTCAACCACTCAGAACTGAATGAGAAACAAGTAGTAGGAGGAACAATCTGTGAAAAGCCTTCAAAAGTGAGGAGGGATGAGAAGGGACTGGAAGGGAAGGAGATGAGAAGCAAAGAAATGAGAGAGGAAAACTGATCCTGGTGTCGGTGACTCATGCCTTTCTTCACAGTGAAAGTGAGGTGGTGGTGCTTATTTCCCACACAGGCCAGAAGGTGGTGGTGTTCTCAAACAGATTTGATTTCCCATAGTTTCTCAAAACACAGATGGTTTGTGAATATAGTAAGACTGCTTAAAAGAAGTAATTTGTACTGACTGTCCCAAACTAAAAATAACCTATGTAGAATATGGCCATATTCCATCTCATTCTTCACTGGTATACATTTGATACTGATTTTTGAAACAGTGTTCTGGTATTGTTAGAAGATACTTCTTTCTCTTTTTGTTATTACTGTGATTCATTTAATGCTGCTGGATTTGTTTAATGAAGTATTTAACTGTTATAAAGGAACGTAGCAGTTACTTCCCTCTTGCCCCTACTTCATTCCTTCAAGAGGAACTTGCAGGTCATGAATAATGAAAGTAATAAAGCCCTCTTGGAATGGGCTGCTCTGCATGCTCTGCTTCTCACATCATGCCAAAGAAGTGCTATTCATTGCCTAATTTACTACTTATCCAGGCCTCAGATTAAGAAGTTATTTGTTTTTATTATTTTTTACTAGGAGTCTCACTGTGTTCACAAATGATACAGGTTTCCTATGTGTAGGACAGAACTGACAGAACTCCGGTGTCAGTCAAAGCTGTGGACTTCCAGTCCTTGTTCTGGTATGATCAGTCTGGCTGTTGTTCCTTTCTGAATAATACTGCTCAGCTTTAAACAACAGCAGGATCAATGGCTCTTGAGAACCAATCTGATGCGTATCCTGTGGGAGATACTCCTTCTCCTGAAATTACATTACAGCTTCACTGGATTCAGTGAGAATAGAAGGCACTAAATGTTTAAGCAGGTTTAGACATTTACTCTAAACATGCTTTCCAAATGACTACTGCTCAAATCCTTGGGGTTTTTTCCATCCTTTCTACCAAGCTATTTAGTGCTTGTTTTCCTAGTATTACTTTGGTTTTTTTCTCTCTTTTTTTCAGCCCTGGATACAGAACCAGTGATGACTTTTCTTGTGAACAGATCAGTCCCTCAGACACCATTCATATAGCGAAAGTCAGCAAAATGAATGTCTGAAATCAGGTAAGCTCAGATTTTGTCTATTTAAAAGCTAAATACCCAGAAGTTCCATTTAACTTGACTTCCATTTGAAGTCTACCAAAACTGCTAAGCACTTCCCTAAGTCAGATCATTCTTTACTTGCCTGTTTACGGGTAAACCTGTCCATTTTGGAAAATCTGGGTAGAATCGCCATTTCAGCTGTTGTGCAGATAAAGTAACACCTAGCAATTTAGCAGTAACACGTAAGGATTACAATGACCACTAATACCTTGAGGAACAAGCTTGCTTAAATGTTAAGTCTGTGAATAGTTATGCAGAAGCACTGCCTAAAATAGCAGAGAGACAGCTGTTGGCCCAACAGGTCTCATTTCCAGTCTTGCTACCTAAAATGTTCAGTGCTTGCTGATGCTCTTCTTCATGAGATTTTTTATGAGACTGCAAGGAGAAGACATGCATTTGAAGTAGCATGAAGAAAAGTACCGCTGCTATTTCATCCTACTTTTAATCCAAATCACTAACTAAAATGATTAGGAAATTAGAGGAAAAGGCAAAAGCACCATACTGCTTTTTGGTGTGAGGTGGGGTTTTTTTCCATGTAAATGTTGCTGGGAATGACAGGTACAAGAGATTTAGCGTGGGTTCAGGCTTGGAGAAGGATTTTTCAATAAGCAGGCGATGCCACTTTTCTCGTAGAATTCTGCCTGCACACGATTAATCCTTACATGATCTCTGCTTGGCTGCTCTATGGGCTTATTTATGCGTCTCCCATACTCTGAAGATGACAAAACAGCGACAGGTCTTGCCATTTCCTGTGAAAACATAAAATTTTCCTTATAAGAAAATCACAGAATGAATACTTGGCAGTTATCTACTGCTAAATGTGCTGTGGCCAGAGGAAAAATAACAGACAGAACTGCACAGCATCTGCTATACGGATGTATATTTATTTAGCAGTGATCTGGACTTTTACTGTTCCATCCCTGACCTAGTTTTTTATGTATATTAATAAACCATTAATATATCACCAGATGAAAAGATGATAAGATATGGAGCTGTGCCATGAGTTACTGTGGACTGATAATTTTTTACGCACACTCACACAGAGGCACTTATCATGTGGTTACTGCTTATTTATTTTTATTCTTATTTTTCTTGTGCACTGACTTGCATGATTCATTTGAAAAATAGGAGAGATTTAATTTGTATCCTGTTACAGGAACACGTACAGTGCTTCCACAATTCAGTGAAACCACTGCATGAAAAAAATCAAAGTCTAAAGGAAAACCCTGAGCAACCACTAGCCCGTGCAAGCTTTCCCTGAAGGACATAAAGCATATACTACTGTATTTTTGCACAATGAAAGGTTTTACTAAAAACACTTGTAGCTGTAAGATTACAGATATAACTGCTCTGCAATGATGGGAAGTGGACTTGGTGAAAAATAACCTGACCAAGAAAAGATTATGTTAAGCTTGTTCTTAGTAAACTGCACTTTAAGTAAGTGTGCAATCACTGTCTGC